TCGGGAAGGTGAGCATCATAGAATGCCAATTTACTAGAAGAAAATATTCTTGTGTTGAGGGAGTACTTGAGTGGAGGCCCAATGTCCTTCTGCTACCTTAATACTAAACCTATAAATGTAGACTCATAGATCTATTCCCCCATCTTCATATAAATATATTTGCATATGTACAAGTCTTTATCTAGAGCTCCATAAATGCCCCTTGCCTCCCAGATCTTTCCTCTATTTCCTCTATGTCCCACTATCATGCTCAGTCCCCACCAGGATAAAAAATCCATAACTTTTTCATGTCACTTTTTTTCCATGTCCTTTTAAAGATCTGTTGTATTATGGAAATAGTTTTCCTTCCTGAACCTCCTTTCCCCTCACCAGACTAGATAGAAAAATGTGGCATTGGAATGTTTGCAAAACTCTCAAACCTAATCCATTTTTCATCTAGTCAAATTCTGACTCACAGTCACAGTATAGGGCAGAGTAGAATGAGGGTTACCGTATATACTCGTGTATAAGCCGAGTTTTTCAGCAATTTTAAATGTAGTTTTGTGGTAAAATTAGGTGCCTTGGCTGATAGTCGGTGGGCTTATACTTGAGTATATATGATATTTTGGCTGTACTCTTATTTTTTTGCACAGAGCGGAGACTTTCCATTTCTGGGGTTTGAATTTGGGCACAGAGAAGTCTCAGTGCCTCATGCTCTGGACATTCGAATGAGAAATTCTGTGACGTGTAAGAGTGCTGGGAACGTTTTTGTGAGCAAGACTCGGTCGTGACCAGCAGACAGACAAAAGCAACAACAGAAGCCAATCACCAAGTCTTTATTCCGTGGACCCACTAAGTGGGATTGAACTGCTTACCTTTTGGTACACTTTCCACAGCCAGATATTGTTTTTATATTTGTAATGTTCTTCAAAGCTGTTTTGAGGAAAAGTGTAAATTATAATAGGAGTAAATTTTTAAAACTAACCAAATATGTATCTTTTCCCTATTAAATATCAGAACAGTAGTTTCTAATGGTTATTTGTAGCCCTATAGGCAGATAATAACATATAGATATCTACTCTCATCTCTTATCCTTTTGATCCTTTCCCTTTTGTAAACTTTAGAATAAAAACAGAATTTAGAAAAATCAAAAATTTTGATCAAAAGTTAGATTTTGATATATCTAAAATGCAAATCAAGAAAGTTGAGAGGAAAAACCCTACCCCTAGAATTTTGCCCACTCCAGAAATAAAGTAATAGCAGAAATATCTATTTCGCTCTCATATTAATCTTGTCACTCTTCTCTTCCTTAACAATACAATATAGTTCCTGTCAATGTTTGAATGGGAGTAATGGGAGATTACAACATTGATATTTTATAGGTTAAGGACTTTAATCACTATATTGATAATTAGATTTGAAAATTATAATGTTTACCATAACATTGAGAATTGGATCATTTAAGGTGTTATTAGTTATACCCTTTATTCTTTAGCAGAAGAAAATTGAGTACTTGCAGCATCAAGGCTATTGTCTTAGCTTGAAGAGGACCCATGAGATTTTAAAATTTGTTTTCACACATAATGAAAGTATGATTTTAAGTGAAAAGCACTGCAGAGGATGTAGCTGTTTAAAATAGAAAAAGTACAGTCAAACCATTATCGTTGAGTTGAGTCCATGAGGTACAGAAGTAGAACTCTTCTCTCGAGCTTCCATGGCTGTGTCTTTAAGGAAGTAAACTGCTTGTCTTTTCTTCTGAGGACTGCTAGGATGGTTCAAACTGCAGCCCTTTAGGTTAGTGATTGAGTACACATCTGACACCACCTGAGCTGTCGTGAAAAATAGGAAATGAAAGAGCCTTATACTTTCTCATTTCGTAATATATTGTATCAGTTTATACATTTAACCACTATAACATCTTAGCACGTTCCCGTAGACTTAAAGAAAAAGGAAATCTATACCATATGTACATACTCGTTGATAAGCCGAGTTTTGCAACACATTTTTTGCAGCAGTTTTTGTGGTAAAATTAGGTGCCTCGGCTGACATTCAAGTCGACTTATTCTCGAGTATATATGGTATCTATTGCCAATTTGTTTCTGAAACGTGATTGTTTGAACACTCAGATATTATTTGCTAAATGTCTAGGTATAGACAAACTATAAAGTCTAGTTATTAAAGCTTTTAGGAGTTTTAATTGTATATATTTGGGTTAGTTTTAATTTCAGAAAGAATATATGTAAATGTTTAAGTGTGTTGATTTTAAGTCTTGGTCAAGAAAATATTTTCATCAGTCTTTTAATCAGAGAACCTAGTAAATCCTGACATTCTTCTGTATTGAAGATCATTTGTGCTGCTGCTTATATATATTTTATGGGAAAGAAGGCTTAGTTATAAGGTATAGCCAATTTAAAATGCATTTGTTTATACTCTCTTTGGATAGGTTCTTATAAAATAAATACAGAATAAAGTGGGTGCCAGCTTTGATTTGATAGGTGTATATTGATATAAAATCTCCATGATGAGTTACTTTGTTTGACTTTCAATTTTGAGAAAGATAGTTTTGCTTTTCAGATGTGATTGATCTCACTGGAGATGATAAAGATGATCTTCAGAGGGCAATTGCCTTGAGTTTGGCGGAATCAAACAGGGCATTCAGGGAGACTGGAATAACTGATGAGGAGCAAGCCATTAGCAGGTAAAAATAATAATTTGCATAAAGCAGATATAAGTACTATTTTCAACAAATTATAATTGGCCTTAAGATATACTTCATAACAAAATAAACTACTAATATACTTATGTGTTGCTTTTATGTTTTATCAAAATAATTACTTGCTACTTATGCAATTGAAGGTTATATTTATAGTATTTGGGGTTGGCATAGTAAGAGATTTAATATTTCTTTAATATTTTTCTCTTTTTCATACTGTATAACATTTAATTTCCAATCACTAATAGAAGGGCAAAGTTTTCATATAAAGGGCCAATATTAAATATTTTAAGCTCTGCAGAAAATACTTCAACTGCTCAACTGTCTTGTTACAGTGCGCAAGCAGCCCTCACCAATACATAGAGGACTGACGCTGCCTGCTTCCAATAACACTTTATTTACAAAAACAGACTGTCTATGGGATTTGAGGTATAGCTATAGTTTGCTAAACCCAAACCTATAGTATTTTTGTAATTTAATTCCTTTTTCAAGATGTGTGCTAGAGTATATATGTTTTTCCTATGTATAACAAATTTTTCAATTTCAAACAATCTGTTTAAAGATTAAATAGATTATGTACATTTGGTTACATCCTGAGTTAATCATGATTGAAAACAAACAAACAAAAGACCAAAAACTCTTTTTACATATTTAGCTAAAATCCTTTGAACAATTTCTGTAAATCAGTGATAATTCTATTTTACTGATGAGATTTTAAGCTTTTAAGAAGTTAACTGATTTTCCAAACATAGATAGGTGCCATGACTCCAAAGATGTTTTTTTATTGTAGCACAATTGGTAGCCAAATGGACCAGCTTTCTCAGATGTTTCCCAGCACACTCTAAAACACCAAACCCATTGCCCGTGAATTGGTTCTAAATCACAGTGACCTGCATAGAGTTTGGTAGCTGTGGACTTCTACAGGAGTAGACTGTGTCGTCTCTCACTCTCGCAACTGGTGGCTCTAAACTTCTGTAGGGCCAGTTCCACCCTTTCCTGACAGCAGTATGAGGGCTCCTTTCTTGGAGCAGCACCAGTAATGTATTTCTCTAACTAAACTGGTATTACTGTAGGCTTCAAAATGCTGTAGTGTGGCAAAGGTGTATAGTTTTAATGTTGCTTTAGAAATTACTTTGTAGGATATTTATTAACATGGGAAGACAATTAAAATGAATTTTTCCTCAGTTTAATTGGGGCTAATGTCACTTAATGTTGGTGACTTAAAAAGAAATGCAGAAAATGGAAATACTTTGTATGGGCTTTGTAATTAGAGTTATTTTTGAAGGACTTCGTAAAACTATATAAATTAGCTTTTGTCTCTTTAAAACAGGGAAATCATTGTAATTGTCTTGGGTAGTTATTAATCTTGAAAATGCTTACCTCTTGAGGGGAAATATGTTATATATGAGTAGGAGCTCATATTTAAGGATCGTCATCATCTAAAATGTTATTTTATAAAATAGAGTTGTACAATTTCTTTACAATTGAACACTAGTGTATACATGAAAAGGAGACTTAAGACTTAATGCCAAGTTAGTATTAGGACTTCAACTTATTTTAATGTGCTTTCTCATTTTTCTGAAACCAATGAATATAAACATGATAAAAAATTAGAAATACTTTCCTAGTTATACTATTGAAACTATTTCTAAGCTTGTATGTTCAATGAAATGTAAAAGCTCCGTATTGTTTTGGATGCACATTTTCCCCCTATTTGGAAAAACATCTCAAAAATATTTTCTTTTGTGTTTTTGGTGTTCTGTATTTTAATATGCTCTTAATTATAAATATTTATGTATATATACTAGCACAAATGTTACATTTGGAAGTATGCAGTAAAATTTTACATACAATTATAATCTATAGCAGTTAAAGAGGTACTTCCTGCTGTAAAATGTTGCTTATTTTCTGGGTATAGATTATATTTCAGATTTGCAGTTAGCAAAGGAATGTTCAATGTCAAATGTACAGGCTGGTTTGTCTGGAGAAATAAACCCTGTGATACTCACCTATGCATGAAAAAACTTTATATCAAGAAATAATTATATATGAAGAAGGCTCCCAGCCCAGTCCAACTCAAGTCCGTGAGTCCAATCCTAGTCCATAAGTCCCTCTTCGGACTCTTGTAGCAACATACAGAGTGCTGGAAGAGCACAGGCTGGTGGACAAGATGTTGTTTGGATCCAAGGTTGGTGAAAACATGCCAGGGCACCGGTAACTTTCAGGGCCAACTGCAGAGTCCGTAGGCAGGAAGGCAAAGCGGCAGAGGGAAAAGGAGGCTTCCAGGTTCTCCCAGTTATAAGAAGACCATAACTCCACGGTGGCATCATCAGACTGTGACCAAATGGACAGGTTGGATTCCACTCCTGGACTTCTATACATATTTAAGTTGACATGACGTCATCTAACTACCACAATATGTAAATCAAATTACAGTAGTGACAGCTGTGTATGTGAGAATTCTGGTTAAGAATTTGACAGATCTATTCGTTCCTATTAGTTTTATTAAGGTTTTTTTTGCTAAATTTAAAAGACTGAATGAGCATATTAAGGGAGACATTTATAAGTCATGTTTAAAAGTAAATTTATCTATTACTCAATTTCATATGGCAAAATCTTGCTAAATAAAGTCCTAGGATCATTTGACTATGATTATAATTCAGTAGATATACTTTAACATGAATGAACAGATCTGGAATGCTACATAGTTTTGTATACTTAACAAATGTGATTAAAGTCCTATCTTTTTACATTTTACCTGAATTATGTGTAATCCAAAACCAAACTGACTGCTTGAGTTGATTCTGACTTATAGCAACCTTGTAGTAGAGAGTAGAATGGCTTCAGAGGGTTTCTGAGGTTGTAAATCTTTGTGGAAGTGAGCTGCCTCATCTTTTTCCCATGGAGTTGCTGCTGGGTTCAAACCACAGACCTTTTGCATAGCAGTGTTTTGATTAATCCACTGCTTCACTGAAGTTGTGTTTAAACAAACAAACAAGCAAACAAACAAACAAACTCATTAACTTCTGCCATCAAGTCTATGCTGACTCATGGTGACCCTATAGGACAGCGTAGAACTGCCCCTGTGAGTTTCTGAGACCCTAACTCTTTACCTGGGGAGAAAGCTCTTACCTTTCTCCCTTACAGTGGCTGGTGACTTCGAACTGCTGGCCTTGCGCATCACAGCCTAACATTGAATCACTACACCTGCAGGGCTCCCTATGTTTAGGGACCCATATATAATTTTGTAAGCATGTTAAACAACTTGAAAGTTTGCTTCTTAATATAATTCCTCTTTAATGTTAGAATTGAATGTGTTTGTTACTGTTATTTTTTATTATTATGGTTGGAATACAAGAACAATAAACATCATTGGCTTATGGATTACACTGAGTGGTTTGTGTGTATGCCATACATACATCTTTTAAAAATGGCTTTCCTCTGGTAATGACTGTAAATTAGATGAGTAGGAGATAGAGGCTAGGTTACAGCTAAAATTCTTATAAAGATCATTCTTCTGACTCTTTGAAGGAACGTGGTGGGCTAGATTATTTAGACCACATCATTGGTGGTGCCTGTGGGTAAACACCGGGTTCCCAAGTACAAGGTTGGTGGCTCAAACCTACTGGTAGTTTCATAGGAGAAAACCGTGGCAATCTTCTCTTGTGAAGATGACAGCCTCTGGGGTAGTCATTCTCTGTCTGGTTGGGTGACCGTGGTGCACAGCAACAGGGTGCTTAATTCGCATTTTCTGCTGAAAATACCCGCACTCCCAGCCTGCAGTGTGGTTTCTGTTGTATGCAATTGGGAGACCTGAACACAGGTGTGATATTAGATTATAAAAGCTAAAAAGGATATATTGCACAAGATAGCAGGGAAAATTCTCCAGCACACAAATTCTAGTTGAAAAGCTAGGAAATAGGGACGAAAGTTGACCTAGAGAATAAATACGCCTAATATACACTCATTGGTGTCCTGGGAGGAGAAGAGAGCGCGGTCTACTGGAAAAATTTAAAGGGATTATCATGGGAATTTTCACAGACATGAAAAGATGATCTGTAATTTCCTGAAACTCAACAAATTCTAATCAGGAAAATTAAGAGAAACTCATATCTAGTTCTTTTGAAACCTAGAAGCAATCATCTTAGAAGTATTCTGAGAAGAAAAGGTAGAATTCTCCCAAGAAAACAGTGATAGTTAAGTGGCAACATTTAGCAACATGCGATTGAGTTCATTTTGACTCAGAGTGACCCTGTAGCACAGAGTAGAATGGCTTCTGTGGGTCTCTGAGCTTACAGATCTTTATGGAGCAGAAAGCCTCGTGCTTGTCCTGCTGAGTGACTGACCGGTTTGAACTTCTGACTTGGCAGGTAACAGTGCAGTGTGTACCCCAGCATGCCACAATGGACACTTGAAATGGTAAAGGAATTTTCAGCCAGTAGAAAGGAAATAATTTCAAAAATTCTGTTCTTAGTGCAAGAGTTTGTAGGAGTTTCACCAGAACATTTTCTTCATGAGGAAATTTCCAGGGACATACTGAATGGCTAAAGTATTTCATCTTCAGTTGTGAGGTAGTCAGCTGGTTATGATAGCTACGAAATCAGGAGTTTTCATTTGTTTTTTTCCCCAGTCATCGCCACCTACATCCTGAAATTTAATGCAAAGAGATCAGGCAGATTAGGTAAAAGAGGAATAAAGCATTTATAAAATGTACAGAGAATCATTGTGCCTCCCACTTTGGCTTATATGGACCTTCTTTGGAAAATCAGGTAAGCAGTGCCCTCAACTATGTGGTTATTATCTTTATAATCTAAGACCCATCAGTCCAAGAAGCTAGTTCAGAAATTAACTGGAATTAAGTTTGCCTGGATGCTACTCAGAGGCCTTGCCAACTTAGCCTGGGGTTGCCACTCACTCATCGCTATCTAGTTGATGCCAATTCATAGTTATCATGTAGGACATAGTAGAACTTGTCCCTCTGAGTT